ATGATAATATTTCATTATCTGTTAACACAAGCAAGTAAAGACGAATACACATACTATAGTAATAATAGTTAGGAAATTATTAAGAATAAAACAAATATATATAATAAACAAACTTCTGCTTAGAATATGCAGTAAACAATTATCTATACATATAAATAAAATTGAAGTGTCTGTTTGTAATATTGAAATAACCGTTTTTTACTACATGCATATGAATGTGAATACTGTACATACAGCAAAATATCATTTTTTACTATTTTTGTCTGTCTGTCCGTCTGTCTTCCGGCAGTCTCTGTGTACCGGCTAATCTCTGAAGTGGCTAGACGTATTTTGACGGGACTTTTTTTGGCAGGTAGCTTATTATTTAAGAAGCAACTTAGGTTACTTTTATTTTAGAAAAATGGAGTTAAATTCCACGCGGACGAAGTCGCGGGAACAGCTAATATATATATTATAACAAATAAACTTTTGCCCAAAATATGCAGTGTGAGGTACTACTGTTTCTTATTCATACTTAGTTTAACGAGGCCCATTTCTTTATAGTTTTTTTTTAAACGGTGTACGAATTCAAATGTAGGTATGTATGTGTTTTTTGTTCTGGGAATAAATCAATATTAATTTTTATTAAAAATTATGCAATGCAACTACCTACTGTATGTATTAAAAATACAAATCATCTAGTGTTGATAACTAATTACAATCTGATTAATATTTCGTTAAAAAAGTACATATTCAAAGTCCAAAGATTAATTTTTTATCGAGACAGTTTGTAGAAAGTACATTTTGCATTGTAAGACGTGTTTCTATGGAAGGAGTGAATAAGAGAACTCAGTGAAACTACAGGAAGGGGATTGTTACTAATGTGGACTAATAATACCATTGCTAGCAAATAAAATAAATGCAATAGAATAAGAGAAAATTGTTTGCCAATGGACTTCACTCCCTCACTTGTTATTAGACGGTTTATTTACACATAAAAATTAGTAGCACGTCTGTTTTTTTATTTCAAAATAAGTAAATTTTCACTTCGTCTTTACTTACTTGTTTGTTGAACAACATTATTAAATGTGTTACAAATAAATATATTAATATGGACGTCATATACATATAGTAATGTAATAACCATGAATCTAGATTTACAGTAAAAGTTCACGGCTCAAAATATATAAAGAAATATGACCATGCATATGACTTTGCATTATAATTATACAGCATAAAATTTATATATGTAAATATATTTTTATATCATCATTCCAATCCAAATGTTATGAGTTTTAGGAGTAATTTTACGTAGATATTTTTTTATTATGTCACATACATATATATTTTAAAGAATAATAATAAATTTACAATATTTAATATATTTTTTATTTTTATGCAATGTTATCAACGTAATAAGAAAATTAAAAAAAAATATTTTTCGGCCCACTCATAGCTTGCTTTTTGAAATTTTATACACTTTTATTAGTCTAAACGTACAAGAAATGTCTGTCTCTTCACCACTATTACTGTTGTTTATTATTGTAATTATTATTTAACAATATCCAGATCATTATTTAAGATATAAATGGATACATGTAAAATTCGTAAAAGGTATACTCGCAATCGTTATTTTCTGAAAATTTTCCAACTTTATGCGTATTTTTTTTTATTTTACATTACGTAACTTAGAAATTAGCGAGTTAGGGATGTGACGCCACATATTTTGTATTCATAAAATAGTAAACCGAGTTTAAATTCTTCAGCAAAACAATTTAAATAATATTTATACAGATGAAGTTTATAACTCTAAATAAGATTTTCGTTTACAGTTTAATATTCCTGTTTTAATACCATATTAGATTTTGAAATGTGAGTTACAAAATTTAGGACCCCTCCCATCCTTCTGACACTTTGTCCATGCTATATACTGTATTGGCAAATCAGAACTGAATTTTGTGGTAAATTTTCATTTCTGTTATTATACATTTTTGTTTATACTTCAATGTCTTGATAATCCTTCATAATATATATCCGTATTCCAAATCTATTTTTGTATTTTCTTTTTACCTAGACAGATATTAAATGAAACTACAACAGTCCCCCCCTACATCTTCCTACACTCTAGGGATTGATTTTTATGTAAAGATTTCCACTTTGTTTCTTGGTGATTTCAGATCAGATGAGCATAACTGGCCTTTGGCTCGGTATATAGACACAATTTATATAACTAACCCCTAATAACATGACCGTATACAGTAGTGCATTGATTACAGAATGTGAAAAAGTGTAATAAATTCTAATAAATCTATGAGTTATTCTATATTGGCCCCTGATTTGTGATAATATAACTACGTGATCTCAGTACATACCTATCTACATAAGTTCAGTATCTACATCCTTATTGCTAAAGTGGTTAAATAATGAAATTTATTCCTTCTAAAACTGATTTTACGGTTTATTTTCCAACCGCAACTTCTCTATTCGTTTGTAGTTTTTTGTTTCTTCATAACTATTTACTGTGAACAGATTTTGATGTTTATTTTTTTATTTGAAAGCTAATACCTCTTGTGTGGTCTCATAGAAGTTTCATCAAAATCTGACCCGCAGTTTTTGAGTTATTTTTAATAATATGATTGAATCTGAACACGGTATTCTCAACATACTTAAGTACTTTATTTATTCGACATTGGACTTAAAAATTACGAACAACACAGACAAGAACAAAACGTAGAGTGAATGTGATAGTTGATTGATTTAAACGGCCTACACACGGCACTAAAATCGGTCGCAATATCTGAGCATTAGTGATGGGGTTACAATCGATCTCGATTTCCCTACACACGAGGCGATCTAGGAAACGATCCAATCCGCAACTTCTGCGTCGACATTGTCCCTAATTTTAGTGTCGTATATAGACTATTTTAATTGGTCTACTGCAATTATTTGTACCTATCAAGTTAAAATTGATTTTCATACTGATATGATCATCATTATCTACCTACGTTATATGTTATCACCACGATTAGATATTTTAATTGTATACAAAATTAAGACTATATTAGTTTTGTTCTGTCTATTATTATTCTTATTTACAACATTTTATATTCCTCTATACCTACAGACAACACGAATAATTTTCAAGTATAAAAGTGCGTACATTTAAATTTGTAACGACATTTCATAGTACATTACATTAAATTAACATTGTTACATTGATTTACAATTTGTAGATATAACAAATTAATTAATTGATAAATTATAAATATTATTACTATTTAATTGAGATACAATAAATACGCTTACACAAATAATAGTGCAATATCTATTATTATATATTACGTAATAATAAATAGTCTTGTGTACTAGTTCTTTAGTAGTTCCAGTAAATGAACTACGCAAATTAGTTCTTCGATCATTCTTCCTTTAGTTCATTCAATAACCAAGTTTAATCGAACATTCTACCTTCTTTCAACTCGAGATGGGAACTAATGAACTAAAAGTGCGAACTGGTTCGCAGCGGAGCTACGAACTGAACTGATTATTCCAGATTACGAACTATTAGTTTCAAGACTAATGATTTACGTTAAAAATAACAGTTATTATTTCTAAACATGACTAGATAATAAAAAATAAGTAATAATAAACTTATTCTAAAGGCACTTCTTAAAATGTGTGCGTTTTGTTTTTTTTTTAATTTAAATTATAAAAAACTAATTTTAAAATTAGGTACAATAATATACACTAAGTACTTATAATATCTTTGTGGTCCGTTCATTTACATTAAATAAAATACGTACAACCTTACTTATATTTTATAGAGGCCAATTCCTCTATAACTTACGCTGGCTCTAAAAATATAAGATTCTATTTTTTTTAGTATGTCCAAACCTTATCCTTTATTCATAAAAATGGGAATGTTACCAGTGTCTTCCAGGAAAATAAAAAATAAAAATAAAGTAGGGCATACGATACATAAAACTATATATATAAATGTATAAACAGAACATTTTGTGCAAAAAAATTATAACATCCCGCCAAAATGGGTATGTCTGGCAACCATACATATAAAAAAAAATATAATTATTTACGATATTTATTTAAGGTTATTTTAAGCTTTTGCTATTAGAAACAAATTATTTTTTATAAAAAATAATATGCATCTTTATTAACAACCTTTTTCAGCACAGCATCTTTGTAATCTAAATATCTCCATAGATACATTTTAATTGTTGTTGTAGTTTTATAATTCGTGCAATTCAGACAGGCGCATACGGCCAATATAGTCATTAGTTTTATCAATCTTTGTAGTGATATTCGCAGTATACATTTTAAGTGATTTGTTCAATTTTCGACTCAATTAAAATAAAATATTTTTGTGCGCAATGGTGCAAGCATTTGATGTAAATTTTCTCTTGATCTGATCTTTTTATGTACACAAAATTTTAGTTTAATTCTCACAAGGGCGGTGCCAAATCTTATAAAAAGTATTAATTGCTCTGTGGTCTATGTTATGATGACGCCACATCGTCTCTAGCATGCTGATAAATTAATTAATTACGTTTTTTTATATCAGTTGTAATCCACGGTCAACGTCCAGACGTAGACTATCTAATTTTTTATAACATATGATAAGGCTCAATGCTGTTAAAAAATAATGTAACATTGCTGAGAAAATGTCAATGGTGATTAAACTAAAACAGTTTTTTTTTAATTTCCATCGAATCATTTGTGTGGCACAGAGGAATTAACACCAATAAATTCGTTTTTAAAAATCAGATATTCAAATTAATAATTACTTATTAGTAAATATTCTATAACGTCCTAGAGACAAAAAATATACTACGTGAAAACAAAACATCTAAAAATTAAGTAATGTTTTCAACATCCAATACTAATTTACCTATATTTCTTAATTTAATGTTTTTTTATATTAAATTTAACGATATTTCGGCACTTCATGTCGTCTCTTAGAGACCGTTGCTGGTATTTCATACCGTAAGTCCAATATTGAACTTCTAATATTTTGTATCTATTTATTTTTTCGATCTCTATTAATTTGTGTAGCAACGTTTATTTATTTATTTAGTGGATTGTTCGTGATTCACAATTTCACATACTCATATAGTTTTTAGTTAATAGTCACAATCTACCTACATGTGCGTATTCATGGTCACCTCTCCCGAACTCTGTTCGTACAGTCGTCTAACGTCGTCTTGTGTCATTTGCGATACAGTTGGTATTTTTGATACGTTGTTCAAATTCATTATGGGTTTTATCTGAAAATAATGTTCCAATTGTTAAGAATTTAATTTTCTATAATACACATCAAGACGTAGATCAACATGAAACGAAAGTGATAACATGATATAGTGATTCTGAAACGACCTCGGTGGTCTAGCGGTCTAGCACACCGCTTTACGACCGATAGGTGCGGGTTGGATTCCTCGCACGGCACAAATATTTGTATCCCTGAGTATGATTGTTTGTATCGGTCTGGGGTGTTTTCTATGTAAAATATGTATGTATTTACAAAAAAAGATCTATGTATTTGTATCAGTTATCTAGTACCCATAACACAAGCTTTAGCTAGCTTAACTTGGGTCTAGATGGTGTTGTGTGAATTGTCCTGAGATAAAAAAAACATATAACATAAACACTTCAGTTTATGTTATATCGATGACTTTGCTTAGCATGTAGAAAACACATGGCATAATAAACAGGCGAAAAAAAAACCAATCGTTATTAAAATTATAAGAAGAGACTTTCGAGAAAAACAGGCTTTGAAATAACGGACGAAAGTTTGTCCACACAGTCCAATTAAATAAAAAGTTATGAGTTATGACTAATAAATAGATAATCCCCAGAATTACCCCCAATGAGTACTCGTTCGCGTTGTGTACGCTGTCATGGTGTAAGTTATTATGAGTTCTATGTATATTGTAATAAAGTTGTGATTACCAAGTAATATTATAAACATGAATCTGTATTATTGTAAACATATACAACATTCATTTGAAAAGAATATGAGCTGAGTTTCTTGTCAGTTCTTCTCTACTCGAAATCATTCCGAACTGACGGTAGATTTGGCAAATTATAAGAGTCTGTAATAGACCTACATGAATAAAGATATCTAGAATTTGAATAAATAAATGATGCACCTTGTTACCCCCAATGAACCCGTTGGCGTTTCCGTTGGGCAGCGTCCCGTTGTGCACGCTGCCGTTGCGTAGGGCTCCGTTGGCGTACCCGTTGGTAACCGCGCCGCCCATACGCGACATCGCGTGCGCGAACTGCTGCACTGCCGACAAATCTGCAATTGATAGAAAGAGACAAAACATATTTATCTAGAACATTCATTTACCCCAGAAAACTAATAGAAATACTTTTTTTTTAAATAGATACAATATATGTATATGCAAAAAACACTCAGACCGACATAAACAATCATGTACCGTGCGAGGAATTGAACGACCATCCGAAGTAAGGCGGTGCTAAACCGCTATAGCATAGAGGCCGCTGTATGAGATACAGCATACTTACAGCCGGCCGGGCCGTAGCATACTTTACTCATCAATACATGAGTAAAGGCTGTAGATCATAAGGCTTTAAAGTTTGAAGCCCCTGCTGTAATTGATAAGAATTAGGCGGAGTGTATTTTTGGCAAAGGCTTTTTTGCTAAAAATACACTCCGCCTAACAGTGAAGATTCGTTTGTATTCTGACGATTTCTCTGATACGGCGCATACAAACTGCCAGAATCAACGCTAAATCAGACAGAGAGGCAATTCAAATTAGATATTAAACAAATGTTATGTAAAAAAGCCTATTATAGGATAGATGAATTTATAGATGTTAGCAATATATAGCAAGAGTAAGTTTATTTGCGGACAACGTTATAATTTTAATTTTCATACTGCTTTCTTGATATTTGATAGCGTAGCGGCTTTTGTATTGATTGCCGCATGCATCCTCATGTAAAGTGCGAATACTGTAACTACCATATAGTAATTTTTGTAGCTGTGACGTGGTCGAGTGGAATGAGTAGTCATGATCACTAAAATGTCCAGACATGTGGCGGCGTGGTGAGCCGGGTCATTGAGCTCCCTAATATATGGTCGAGCGCAGTGATGGCTGGCTCATCCGTCATACTCGTGAACGAGTGCTGCTTGTAGGGACTGGTCTGCTCTTATCACTACGACTGATTTAATCTTATTGTATATTTATATTTGACCCAAAAAAATAGTGCTTGTTGGTAGTTTGTATTCACACGTTTCGACTTGTAAATGTAAACTTACAAGGATTATTTAAAAGAGCAACACACAAGTTTCTTGCTCGTTCTTCTTGTGATGAGACAGCTTTCCGAACGAGCGGTAGATAAAAAAAAATTGTTATGACTATTCAAAAGTGCTTAAATTAAGTTTATTTGAATAAATGATTTTCTATTCTATTCATAGAAATCGTCAGTACGCAAACATGAGTGATGCTTTGTGTTGATGGTTATAATGTAAACATATGCTGTAGATACCTGTGCGTGGTGACGACGCAGGCTCTGGGGGCGACTGCGGTATCTGCGCAAGTGCCTCCGCCTTCTCCAGCTCCTCGAGCAGCACCTTCGCGAATTCTGTCTGCACGTCCTCAGAGTCAGTGTCACCATCCACCTGGAAGTAGATAACTGTTAGTATTATTGAGTTTAATTATGACGGCCCTGATGGTTGTGCGGTTTAGTCACCGCCTTACTTCCAATAGTCGCATGTTCGATTACTCGCACCTGGATTTAATTTCGTATAATTTTAGGGAGATAAACGTCGGCTACATGTGCTCCTCGGTGTCATATATTGCTACCACCACAAAGTAGAGTTTCGGTGTGAAGGGTATAGTATAGCAAAGATTATACGGTACATGGAACATCAGACCTTATATCGGTGATTCTATTCATGAGACAGATAGACATAGAGGCAACGGATACGACTTACCATCACGGTCTGTGTGTCCGTCCGCGTTAATGAAATCAATAACTTTATCATTGCCTTTATTTGTTTATCATTTCTTAATTCCAACAAATGATTGCAATTCTTTTATAAAGTACCTACTAGCTGATCCGCATAACTACGCTTACGTTACATTTTGGTCATTTTTGCTACATTTTTCATTGCTACTTTGCTCCTGTTGGTAGTAGTCTGATGTTATATAGCCTATAACCTTGATAAATGGGCTATTCGCTTACTACAAGCATTTTTAAAATCAGTTCAAGTAGATATAGCGCTTAGCGCTTTAGTCAAATTAAATGAAATCAAAATATCTTTATTCATCTAGGACTATTGCAGACTCCTGTGATATATTAAATTTACCGTTAGTTAGGAATGCATTCGAGTTGAGAAGAACTGATAAGATAGTGTAGTATAGGTAAATCTTTATGTACTCACTATAACGAGCCTATGTTGTTGATCCAAATTCTTCAACATGGGCAGACTGAGCTCTCGGAACACCTCTAGGCGTCTCCTGAATGCTGCTACGGAATCATCCCGTCTGCCACGTCCCAGCTGTAACTTGGAGCAGTCCAGGAGTACCATGCGAGGGGACACGCGGAACTGGAATATTAATAAAGAAACTCAACAGTCAAATTACATACTCGAAATTGACGGTCTCGCTGGCCTAGCGGTTGGTACATCGCCTTACTTACAATAGTCACGGGTTAGATTTCATTCATGAAATGAACATTTGTAATCATGAGTATGATTGTTTGTATTGGTTCGAGTGTTTTCTATATACATTAAGAATCTATTTACGACTAAATGTATTGAAAGTACTACTGTCCGTTGTTAGGTATCCATAACTATGTATATATTTAAGTATTTCTCTTAGTTGTTTATATATGGTATAATATCTATATCTCAGAACAACTTACACAGCGCCATCTATTCCCAAACTAAGCAAAACTTATGTTATGGGTACTAGACAACTAATAAAATATTTTATTTTAATATATGCATATAAAACACTAAGACCGATACAAACGATCATACTCAGGAGTACAAATGTTTGTATCCTGTAAGGAGTCTAAGTTACGAGTATCCGAAGTACGGCGATGTGCTAAACCGATAGACAACCGAGGCCGAGTATAAACTCTGCTTTTCTAGGCTAGTTTTTTTTTATAATACGTAGGTGGCAAACCATCCATTACGCCACTATCAGATGGAGGGTATAAGCATACCCCTTGTTGCCGATGGCAACCTTTTTGATAGTTTTTTATATATATTTGAATTTTATATTTTGACGTTCTGTTTTTATATACCGTTTGTTTTCTTATGCCATATTGTCTTTATATTTTTGCTAGCGAGCTGATTACACTTATTTTACCTCACCCAGGAACGTGTCTCATTTTAAACCAACCTTAATACAGTCCTTCCGTAACACCACTGTATAAACTTTCCTGAGCTAAAATTCTAGAAGTAAAAATATTACTTACTTCCGTTTGGAATTGTTCCATTTGTTCTAGGTCGCGTGGATATCCATCTAGAACAAGTCCATGCCCGCTCCTGGCAGCATCAGTAACTGCTCCCCTGACGAGCTTTAGCACCAGGTCGCTTGGCGCCAGCTCTCCTCCACTGATGGCCGAGCGAGCCAGGGCCCCATCCGATGCTGGACCACCGCCGGCGTCCGCTAACGACCGGAGACGCTGACCCAGGCTGTGTATATACAGTTAAACAATTTATATTTATCAAAATAACAAGCTGACGTTTTAGGCCTTACGCTAAGTAGTATTAGAGTTTAAAATCTCTAAAACTTCGTTTGTATTCAAGGATTTATTTTTCGAACACCAAACATTCCTTTTTTTTATGGACTAGTCTAATGCTGTTGGCCGCAGCTGGCCTTTATAACTTCACCGGACAATAGGGCGAGTGCAGAAGGCACTTCACACCCGCAGAAGGACTTATAGAGCGGCTGAAGGCCAATTCGTGGAAACAATAGTGATAAATTCCTGGTGAAAATACACAATGAACTGACCTGATATGAAATCAGGTCAGTTGATCCAGGTACCGCTCAGGTCGCACCCGGGGCTACGGCGACTAATCGCGGTTTCCGAGAACCACCGAGAAGTTATAGCTGGTAGAAATCCTGCAGTATCCGTCCGCACCCCTTCGTAAACGCGGATGGGTAATATATGAAGATTTCCCCTCGTTAAAAAAAGGTATCAATCAGGTGAGGTGCCTTGTGTGGTGTTGTGAAGGTGAAGACCTACCTGAAGTGTGTCCACCCCTGCCGCTGGTTGACGGTGCGTTGGCACAACGTGGCCTTGTTGCTGCCCGGCCCGCCGACCACCCACACTATGGTTGGACGGGTGACGGCACCTCGCACTCTTATCACCTCAGGCTGCAAACAATATATATATTGTTGTAGAAATATGTAGTAAAACTATTTATGACTGGAAAAATGTATTTAATTATAAGATGGTAGAGAGTGAAGTGACATAATATAATTTTGTTTTTATAGTTTTGATTATGGAATATAAGAAAACTTTAAATATATCAAAAGAGTTTCTCAACATATATTTATTTTATATTATATTAACTATCCGCCCCGGCTTTTTGTTCACATATTTAAAGGAGCATGCAAATTTTAACCCCATTTTACTTTTTACCTAAAATTACTAGCTAGTAGCCCCGGCTCCGCACGGATGTGCATGTATTATATATACGAACCTTCCTCTTGAATCACTCTATCTATTGCTAAAAACTGCATTAAAATCCGTTGCGTGATTCAAAAGATCTAAGCCAATAGACAGCGGAAGAGACTTCGTAACTTTCATACTTTATAAAGATTACGTGTAATTTTGCGGAAGTCCATTTCATATATATTTTGGGGTACGGGTGGAGACCCACCAACATGCTGTCTACCTTAAGGAGGGCTACTGGCAGAAGGGGTAATGTATCGACGCTGCCGTGATAGATTGCTCTCATCAGCAACTGCATTATCTCAACCCTCAACCTAAACACAGCTTACAAAGCTGCGTAGCGATCGAAATAAAGAAAATAGGTAAGATAATATAACGTACCCCACATTATGTTACCTTACCTATTTTCTTTAAATGAAGAAAAAAGAAAGGTACAATGACAACGGTAAAGTCTAGTTCGATGAAACCTACTAACCTTCAACACTATATGTCCTTTAGGCTGACTCTACTACTCTTTTTGCTTCTAATATATGACCATTTAACACATTCAAAACTTGATACCGAAATAATTGGGTCAAAACTGTTGGGTCAAGGAATATTTCGCTTTGTCTTGCTTACCATAAATATAACCAGACATGTACATTACGATTGTACGGCCACATGCATCGAGTTAACTAGTACTATATATAGAATTTATTAGGATGTAGTCTGTTTTTCCGACTACTGCTGTCGCAGCTGGCTTTTATAGTGTCACAGGACTATAGGGGACGAGTGTGGATCGCACTTGTCCCAAATTGTATTTAGCAGACGGCCTAAAGTAGAGTTTACTTGTATTTTTTTTAATTGGGACTGATGTAAAGTACCTATAGTTAACCGTATAACAAACAGTTGTGATAAAAATCTTATATCACTAACAAACTCTGCATTTGATCGCGGTTATAAGCCGATACTTCTGTCAAGATTTTTAGATCAATATGATATAAATTCAGAAATACTGCCGGATCCTGTATCGAAAGTTTGGTGGCAAAGGTATAGGAAAACACTACCTATGGTATATGGTACACTGATCAAAATCAATTAAATCAAAATTACGACAGCCCGAGCCGAGGTCCGAAGCCCCAGCGGTGCGCTCAGACTATAGTCATATCCATCAGGCGGGAGTTGGTCTTTAGCCGCTCCATAAGTTCTTCCATTGTTTGGAGTGCCATCTGCGCTCGTCCACTATCGTCCGGTGAAGCTGTAAAGGTCAGCTGCGGCCAACAGCATTAGTCCGAAAAAAAAGGTGAATCCAAGAAATTCTAAGAAATTCGTCTCTCTCTTTAATATATTCAGTAGGTAGCCGCTCTTCCTCGAGTCGTTTCTATCGTCCCTGTATTTTTACCGTGTTATGTTTTCGTCAAGTCATTGCGTTAAGTATCTCAGGGGCTGATACGATTTTTGTTGTGTCTGTTATTTGGGTATATCGATTTATTACGCGGCTCCGCGTCTGCTGTAAATTATATTTAGGTACGTAGTAATTATAACACAATTTCAAAAAATTGTCTGGAGTGGTTTCTACGGTTTCTATTCTGTAAGTTTTATAAGAAATAGCCGTGCTGATGTTTTATTTTCCCTGTTTTGCAACATTTTTCATTTTTGCTCTCCTCCTATTGCGCGTAGCGTAATTATATACATATCTATAGGATATAGTATTTCTAGAAAAGTAGGCTATCCAACATTATATATTAGAAAATCGATTCAATAGCACCGAAGGTTGCTCTGAAGTTTGAAACTTTATTAAAATTACCTCTTTATAATATCGAATTACATGAATTGCAAAAATGTCTAGACATCAAGACAACTGATATAGTTATTATTAAATTCAATATTGTATTTAAAACGAAAGATTAGATTTTTTGTGTGTTAGAAATAAATAAAAACAGAAAAATACCCAATTAAAAAATGTTTAACAATCAAAAGTTGTTAGCGAGTAACATGGGTTGTATTTTATACTAAAATACGGGGCGTATTCTATGTAAATAGATAAATTGTGATTCCTATAATAATTTTACCCAACCGAAGTGAATGAAAAATTTGATTAGTATTTTTAATGCCACAATGTTGGCAAACAAGCAAACGGTCCAACTGATTGTAAACGGTTATCGTAGCCTGAAACACCAGAATTGTCACGTGCGTGTTACCGACCCTTAAATAATCGTAATATATGTATGTACACTATTTGAGATCTATTTTACCTTTGGCGTAACAATCCTCTCGTTTCTATTTTCCTGGACTGGCGGCGCCACTGGCACTACAGGTGGAGCGACAACATCTCTTCTTTCTCTCTCCCTCACTTGATATTTCGGTGAAGGAGCCGGTTCTACCCCGACTATCTCGCCCGGTATACCATCAGCGCCAACCCCGACGCCGCTTACGCCATTAACAGTTGTTTGGTCTTCATAGTTCCCGAGGATCTGAAGGACGGCAGCTCGAAAGTCCTTGTATACCTCTTCAGGATTTCTTTCGCCGTTTACCTGAAATTAAAATGAATTATTAACTTACTTCAAAAAGAGTTCTTATTATTCTATTATTGTAATTTTCTGGTTTATTAAACCGTACAAAATAATATAATTTTATAACATCTCAAGATTCTCAAGCTGCAGTATCTTATGATTATTTCAGAGTCCCTTGGTTCTCAGCAAACCCTGCAAAATGGAGATGCGCACCCTTAGTACGGTCCCAAGAACACTCAACATCTGCTCGCAATAGAACCCCCAGTGACTATATGTCACTATAGGCTTTTTGTAAATATAATCTGGTAAAAACCTGCTAATGCAGCTGTAGATACACGTTATAGTATAAAACTATATATTATCGCGGACATTCCACGAAAGACATAAAATTATTTATATACCTACTCAAATTTACAAAACTTGTGACTAGGCAGTATGGGCAATATTCTGCGCCTGTCCAAATTAAACGAATTTTAAAACAACAACAATCAATGTCGACACATTGATTGTTGTTGTTTTAAAATTCGTAATAAGAAATACACTGAGCAATTAATCACTATGTTTTAGATAAATGTTTAGCTACTATATTTAAATAATAAATTCAAATTTAATCAAATGTTGTGGTTCCCGCCAATTGGACCATAGACAAGTTTTTAAGGTTATATTTTTCCAGGGCAATCGAACACGTCCTAGCGTGAGAGTGAATACGTCTGTTATTTTATATTTAGAAGTAAGTTAGTTATTCAAAAGACTTTAATATTTTATGGACTCAATACGAATCGTTAGATACCACCTGTTTAGTATCACAGATCTCAGATTTATATTTAAATTAATACGATACATACAAAATACTAAGGTAACAAACTAACCCATTTTTCTAATATCATAAACGCGAAAGTTTGTAAGTATGGATGGATGGATGTTTGATATTCTTTCACGCAATAATTTCTAAACGTTCTTTTATGAAACTTTATGGTAATATAGCTTATACATCAGAATAACACATAGGTTATAGTTAAACAAAACATTTTTCATATAATTCAATATATATCATTTCATTCGTCTGCACCACACTTATTTGATGAAATAAGTGTGGTGCAGACGACGTTGTGGTGGTAATTTAGTCCATTAATAATTAGAAGTATATAGAATGTGAAATATAAGACAAAATAGTGGCTATCTAGTTCCAAGATAAGCAGAGCTTGTGTTATGGGTACTAGATAACTGATATTATTACACATATACATTTTATTGTAAATACATACATAATATATACCAGAAACACCCAGATCGACACTAGTGTGTGTTGATTTGGGTCATACTAATATATATAAATATGTCTACTACCGTGCGAAGAATCGAACCCGAGACCATCGGAATTCACGCGGTGTGCTAAATCGCTGGATTACCGTAGCCGTCATGTTGGAATAATAAATGAATTAATGTATTATAATAATCATTACTTGTGAGAAAAATAATATTCCCTAAGGCATATGAAATAAGACAATTTATGTACTAGAATAGATTGGTGTACTAATACCTTCATCACACTATCACATATATACATATAAATAAAATTGGAGTGTCTGTTTGTAATATTGAAATAACAGCTTTTTACTATATGCATATGAATATAAATACGCTACGTACACCAAAATATTTTTTTTAATAATTTTTGTCTGTCGATCTGTCTGTTTGTTCTGGCTAATCTCTGAAATGGTTGGGCCGATTTTGACGGGACTTTTTTTGGCAGGTAGTTTATGTAATTTAAAATAACTTAGGCTACATTTATTTTAGAAAAATAAAGTTAAATTCCATGCGGACGAAGTCGCGGGAACAGCTAGTTTATCTATGTAAATACTGTCGTCCCGCGCAATTTGGTCTGCATCACACTTACTTGACATTCATCATTATATTTCACGCAATTTACAATATATATCTCTTTTATTTATACCCTAGATGTTATTCTGATGTATAAGCTATATTACTGTAAAGTTTCATCAAAATCCGTTCAGTTGTTTTTGCGGAAAAGTGTAATCCATCCATACTCACGAACTTTCGCGTTTATAATATTAGTATGTAATATTATATTATCTGTGATATTAGTATGTAATATTATGTTATCTGTGATATTAGTAAGATAATGTATACTGAAAGAAGTTTTCTAATTGTATAGGATTCTACACTCATACTACATTTTTTTCACCTATTTTGTGTTGAATAAATGATACATACATATTTGGGTCACAGTAATGTCTAACTGGGCGATAAACTAAAAATTCATAAACACCTGCAAACTGACTGCCACCTGCCATCATAAAGTACCTACAGCTTACCATCCAAACCAATTTATTATTAACTAGCTATCCCCGCGACTTCGTCCGCGTGGAATTTAACTTTATTTTTCTAAAATAAAAGTAGCCTAAGTTACTCCTTATTACATCAGCTACCTGCCAAAAAAAGTCCCGTCAAAATCGGTCCAGCCATTTCAGAGATTAACCGGAACAAACAGACAGACAGACAGACAAAAATTGTAAAAAAATATATTTTGGTGTAATTACCGTATTTCTATTTATATGCATGTTGTAAAAAACGGTTATATCAATATTACAAAATTCACTCCAATTTTATTTATATGTATAGATGTAAACTGTGTCCATATGTATTATAATCAATACCACATATTGTTCAGTACAAGTAATATTCAATAATAATTTAATTAATATTACAAACATATATATATGTATCTATACACTAGATGTGCCTACGACTGCTTACATCCGAGTGGAATAGTGACGATAGTAATGGATAGTATAAAATATTTATTAATCTAAACTAAAAAAGACAAAGAAAAAATTTAATCGTTCTAGGTTCCAAAATGACGAATTTTCGTACAAACTTTCACTCCCTTTCATATTTATTTATATTTATCAACAGCCTAGAAAATAAGTTTCAAGCTTTTAGCTTTAAAACTGACGATATATTTATACATCCTTTCATCTCCTACTAACAAATTGTCAAATCTAAAAACTATACGGTAAAAGTTAATGTAAACAAACTCTTGAAAGGTATGAATTATGATGATTCTGAAAACGTACTCACAGTAATCTTATAAACACACCAACCATATTCATGCACTACCTACAAACAGACCTTACACTCACCACACCACACCATACCACCACACCACACCATACCATCACACCACCACAACAAAAACATTGAATGTTATTGTGTCCCACACATTACTACATTAGTTTTTGTTATAATGTCCCACACATTACTATATTAGTTTTTGTTGTAACTGGTTAATAAGATATGTGTTTTATATCTAAAATTTTTAGTTCCTTTTGGAGATTCTTGTTTGTTATTTCAATTCATTATGTTAATGTCAGTATAGTATCTAAATATATATTTTTCTTCTTATTTCAAGTTTTTTTATCAAATTATCTAAAATACTTAGCAAATTGTCTGTACTTTTAGACTTATAATTTTTACAAGATAATTCATATTCTGGTTCCTACAGGACAGGCCCAGTCTAGTGTAGGACTCAATGCTATTGTGATTGTATTGAAACAATTTTGGTAAATAATTTATTATTATTATTTTATATTATTTGGAATATGGGCATGTCGATGTTTTAGTGAAAAATGACCATAATGAGTATACCGTTTACAAAAACGAAGATCGACTATTGTCAACTCTGAATTCCCCCCGTCACTTCTAAATATATAAATAAATTAAAGTTATCAGTTATTCATATCAATGGGTCTATTTTATGGATAACAATTTGAATATAAATAGATGTCACAACTATGACCATTACAATTCCATTAGGTACCGTATACCTGCACTCACACAGACGAATAGTCTATGACTCTTGTCATAGAGTGCCCAATTGTCTATGCTTACGGGTATATTAGTAGCTAGCTGACCCCTCTACTTTGTTCGCATGGTATTCGTAATAAGTTATTATTAATAACAAAATAATAATAATCTTATCCCTGCTAATATCATAAATGTGAAAGTACGGATGTTTGTTACGCTTTCACGCAAAAACTACTGCACCGATCATCATGAAATTTTGTAAACATGTTCTTGGAGACATTAGGATGAACAAATGATACTTTTTATTTAAAAAAAACATGCGAGTAAAGCCGCGTTTAAAATCTAGTTATTATTATAAACGCGAAAGTTTGTGAGTATTTATGGATGTTTGTCACTGTTTCATGCAAAAACTACTGAACTGATTTTCATGAAACTTTGCAGTAATATAGGTCAGAGTAACACAGGCTATAATTTAAAACTATATTATGTAAATTGGGCGAAACATAATGATAAATGTCAAATAGTGTGATGCAGACGAAGTGCGGATCAGCTAGTGAATAATAAATAACCTCTGTACAATTAACATAGCACCATCTAGTCCCAGAGTAAACAGAGCTTGTGGTATGGGTACTAGACAACTGATATAAATACTTAGATAAAAAAATTTTGTAAATACATACATAATATACATAGAAAACACTCAGGCCAATACAAACAATTATACTCATGAATACAAATAAATGTTCGCACCGTGCGAGGAATCGAACCCGCGACCATCGGAAGTTAAACGCTAATACCCATTTTATAAACTACTTAGAATAGTTTACGGGCGCAGACAGACAGACACAATTTAAAATTCACAAAATACGGATTGACAACCTCATCCATCCTGATCATCTGGATGAATGGCGGTCTTCCACCGTGCGGTTTTCTAGAAACTTTTTGCCTCGCACAACCACATTATGGAATCACCTTCCAGCAATGGTATTTCCGAACCGATACGATATTGAAACCTTCAAGAAAAGAGCTTATTCCTTTTTAAAAGGCCGACAACGTACTTGCAATTCCCCTGGTGTTGCGGGTGCTCATGGGCGGCGGTAATCACTTACCATCAGGTGAGCCGCATGCTCGTTTGTCCCCTGTGTTATAAAAAAAAAAAAGAAGTTGCCTGAAGAGAAAAGAAAAAAGCCGCG